ACGTTATCATGTCACTAAATAAATTAACAATGTGATTTAATATCACTAACTAATACATTGTAATAAAACTGACAACGACAATGTCATATAATGACACTTAAAATGTCAATGACAATATTGTGATAATATCAAACAAATAAAAATGACAAATTTTTTATAGAGAAATAATTTTGTCAATGTGATATAATAATGTCATTATATAACAGTATAATATACAATGTAGTTGTGCGACAATGTAATATACAATGTCATTATATGACAATGTAATGATATCATTATTTAGAAAATTAATGTCATTGTGTGAATGAAAAATAAAAATGAAGTTAAAAAATAAAACTAAAAATGTCACATTGAGAGTTGACAATGTCAGAAAACTTTCAAAATGTCGTAAAACTGTCACAATGTCAAATATTGACACTGTGATGATGACATTGTCAATGCTTATGTCAATGACCGTTGTAACGACGTCTATGCTATAAAAGAACATTGTTAAAAGGTTATTGTAGTAAGAATTACAATATCTTTACCGAAAACATATTATATTACAATGTCAGTTTATAACAATGTAATATACAATGTCATTCTTTAACAATCCAATATACAATGTCAATATTATATGACATTGTCATAATTATAAGGTAGAAAATATGTCAATGTTACAATAAAATCACATGATGAATTGAGTACATACACAATCAGTAAGCTGCTCATGCAATTTAACTAAAGAATGCAAAACAGGGACAATTTTCATATAGGCATTTCATCAAACAGTTCTACTGCAAAAGAAAAACTCATGGATTCATACATTAAAATGGAACAACTACTCTCTACATCAAGTATGATTGTATGAATAAATTTTCTAAATGAAGTGTGAGTAAATTAAGCATGACCGAGTGAACAGAATGAAAAATCGAAGTAGAAAAAAGAGAGGATGGGAAAAAAAGTGGGGGATAGAAAATAAATCTGGAAAGAAGGATAAGAAAATTGAAAAATAAAATACAAAAAGGTTTCAAATTTCAGAGCATCATCCTCAATTTCCTCCAAAAAACAAGCAGCATCCTCAATTCTTCATGTCTGCTTCTAAAAAAATAACCAATGTGCGCAGTGAAGAAAAAAAAAGGGAGAAGATGAAGAGATGTGTTTCCCCTGCGGCGCCCTGCACCTACTCTTCACCGTCCTTCGTCATCGGCTCATATCCTTGCTGCCTACAGAACAATTCATCGCGACAGTCGTTCTCTCCAAGCGCTGGCACTTCCTCTGGTTCTCTGCCCAGTCCCTAATCTTCCAGTACAACGGCAACTTCGAAAGATGACTGTCGCTGAGAGGTGGAGGAGCGCAGATGACTGTCGTTGCTGCCATTGCGTGTGTTGTTGGCAAAGGCTTGGCTGAAGCATGTTGTATCACTGTAATTTGCCCCAGACCAGTCCAGACCAGTTCAGACCAGACCAGTCCAGACCAGACCAGTTCAGACCAGACCAGACCAGACCAGATTTGGATAGTTATAAAAATACAAAGAAACCAGACCTTACCAGACCAGAACAGACCAGTTCAGACCAAACCAGACCAGCAAATTACAGTCCAAGTAAAAACATCCTTTGTCACGAGAGGGAGGATAAGAGAAAGCGGCCTCTTGCAGGGGGATGAGTTATTAGGAGCAATTCTGGAAACATCGTAAAATTAGGTCTTATTTAGAAGTAAAAAAAGTCAAGGTCCTGTTTAAGTGTTTAGGGAAACTTAAGGTCCTATTTGGAACCATTTCTCCTAAAAGAACGTAGGTACTCAAGTGAAGTGTAGGACTAGCTAGGGATTTGGGAGTGTGGGCTTGGTTATTAGGACCGGCGCACTCAACTTTGGTCTTCTTGTTTGGGTCATTTCATATGTAATTCTCCGTATTTGTATAGTAATGTGGAGTATGTTGTAATAACCCTCACAATATGGTGTTTACCACTTTTCTTCTAACCGGCATTTCACTCTTATGATGGTCATTTGACTATGGGGAGGGACATGCAGTTTAGAAGTCGTTTTCTGGGGTTTTTGACTGGCTGTTGAGCAAAGGACAAAAACTACTCCAACAGGTAGCATAACCTAATAGAACAGGCCAAGCCTTACCTCATAAACAAGCGTAAGATAGATACCGGTGCCGGCTTTGGAGCCCAGGAAGAGAGGCTGCCTAGGGCACTACTTTGAGTGGGGCACCATTTTTTAAAATCAAGTACTGCTACTTATAGTGTACATATGTATCAGAGTAGTTACAATGAAAATGTAGTATTGAAAATTTGAAAAAGATAAATAAGTACTATGTACATTAGTATAAAAAGGCCCACTGACCCCTCACCCATATGGTCATACGACTCATACCTATATGAGTGCTTGACAAGTTGGCATTTTACATTTGGTTTGCATTTCTATAATTAAAAAATACTCCGTATACATTAGGGTTGCAAACGAGCCAAGCCGTTCGCGAGCCGCTCGTGGATCGCTCGGGAAAAGCTCGACTTGAGTTCGGCCATATTCAAGTTCGGATCGAGTTCGGCTCGACTCGTATACTAAACAGGGACGGATCCAGGATTTGGAGTCAAGGGGGGCGAAATTTTTTCTTTAGTGTAGGGGGCAAAAAAAATTCGCTAGTGTAGCGGGGAAATTTTTTTCCCGCTAATGTAGCGGGGAATTTTTTTTTCACTAGTATAGCGAGATGAAAATTTTTCACCATTGTAGGGCTGCGCGGCTAATTTTTTTTCAAAAAAATAAATCATTAGTACATACACGATAACATTTAAATCTATTACATTTTAAGTTTAGAGAATGAAAAAATAACTTTAATTTTGTAACCGTGAATGCTCTATAAAAAAAAGTACTGATACATTAAAGCATAAGAAATTGCAAATAAAAGGAAATTTATTTGAAAATAGAAAAGGATATATAACATTTTGTTGAATTATTTGAAGGTAAAAAATTTGAAAGGTAATTAAACATCATTCGATGTCTTTTAAATAACTTATGTCTTGTTTAACCACATGAATCTTATCGGAATAAAGAAATGATTTTTTAATTGTAGTTTTTGTTTACCAAGGAGAGTGTTCATGGGTCACGAGAAGTTTTTTAATATTACAATAGTATGTATGAGATTATTATATTTAGAATAATATTATATATAGTATTGTTAATTCATATATATGGTACATATTATATTTGTATTAATGCTAAAATACGTTAAAGTTTATTATTTATGCAATAAATTGCTTTTAGAAAGTAAGAAGTAAATGAATTGTATAATTTAATGTCAACAAACATTTATATTTTGGATTCACTTCACATGATTTAAAACTGTTTAACTGGTGTGTCTGATATTTTATATCATTTGTTCTTTTACAAAATTTAAAACTAATTATCTATAAAGACAATCAAATATTACAAAACCTAGGAATTTTTATGTAATAGGTACCCTAAGTCTTAAACTATCTAATTTATTTTAGATCTTACTTCTTTTAAATCTCCAATAAAGTATTACACTATGTAAGACTATATATCAACTTTGAAAACTAAAAGTCAAGGGGGGCGAAAACATATATATCAAATTAAAGTATGAAAATACTACATATATAGTAGAAAAATTTGAAAGTCCAAGGGGGGCGGTCGCCCCCCCCGCGCCCCCCCTTAAATCCGTCCCTGATACTAAACAAGCTCGAGTCAAGCCTCTTTATTTTAGGCTCGTGGCTCGCGAGCCGGTTCGCGAGTCTTGATGTTGTATATAATTATATATATATATATTTTTTTTTTTTTATATAATTATATATATATATATATATATATATATAATATTATTGGAATAGTTATTCTAATTTAGGATTACTCTATTCTTAATACTTATTACTACGTATATTATAATAGAAATAATTTAATGAAAAATTATTTATGATTATAATCATTATTTATAATAATTATAATATATAATACGAAGTGAGTATTAGTTTTTTGTTAGTTCACTATGAGTGACAATAAAACAAATTGACATCAAAATTTTCACAAATGTGTTGGTTGGCTGGGTGGACATTCCCTTGCATGCTTCATATGCCACCCGAGTTCGAATCCCCTCCGTGGCAAACTTTTGTGTGCTCCTACTCCATCTGTTTTTAAGTTTCTAATCTCAAAACTTCCCACACCGGAAAGTGAGGAAGCATTTTCTCTAGCAGCCAGCTATAAACCACCTCATATCCAAGGGAACAATTGAGCACCAAGCAAGTCGCACATCATCAAATTTTGATGAAATGGCTAAGCTTTCGAGTCAATCTCGAGCGGCTCGCGAGCTCAACTGAAGCTTTCGAGTCGAACTCGAGTTTCAATATTTTAAGCTCGATCGAGCTCGAGCCGAACGCGAGCATATAAAATATTTTCGAGCTCGAGTTCGAGCATATGTGAGTTCGGGCTCGGCTCGGCTCGTTTACACCCCTAGTATACATTAAATAATAATACTCCGTTATGAATAAAACACAAGGCCCGTCTGTGCAGCCATTAAATAATACGGAGTACGTAGTAATTTAACATATTAACATTATTCTTTAAAAAAAACATATTAACATTAAAATCAAAGCCTTATGAGTTTTTATACTTCGGAAATCAGCACCACCACGTTCACCAATCATCAGGACACTAATTCGACAATTTACCAATAACTCCAATAAGTAGTGATAAGTTTCATCTTCTTTCTTCCGAGTGAAATCCGTTTCAGGCTTGACTAGTGGTGGACTCGGGCGGGGTGGCCCGGGACCGGTACTGTGCTGAACCGGCCCGGCCCGGTGGCCCGGCCAGTGACCGGTCCGGGTAGGCCCGGCCCGGGGGTTCCCGGTGCGGGCTCGGGTCACCCAAAAGTTGAACCGGCCCGGCCGGTTCGGGTCTGGTTCCGGGCTTTTTTATTTTTTTTAACCTTAAGGGTTGGGCTGGGTATTTTGGGCCATTTGGGGTGGTTTGGGGGTTGGGGGTGAGGGGGGGTTAATTAGGAAAAGGAAAAAAATTGACCCGAGGCCCGGCCCGGCCCGGACCCGGTGGCTACCCGGGCCCACCTTTTCAGAACCGCCGGCCCGAGTCCACCACTGGGCTTGACAAGATTCCAGTAAAGAGCACAACAATTGATTCTTAGATACCGAATTACGGATTGTGATTTTTCTTTGTAAAATTGTGTTGTGAGTTTATACTTAAAGTTATGGTGGTTTAGTGGTTATAGTTATTTTAAAATTTGCTCTTTATAAGTTATATTTACTAATGTATAAATATGATATAAATAATTAGTGCTACATTACTATTATGATTTGACGGGAAAAGGAAGCAAGAATTCTGGGCTTTTACGAGAAAACATAATAAAGAGGATAAGATTGTATAATCTTTTGCCAGATTCTATGAATAGGTATGTAATAAAACATTCTCCTTCGGTATCAAATAAAAAGTTAGAGACTAATGATATAGATGAGCATAAAGCATTGATATCGAAAATGAAAATAAAAATCACGGTTAAAACGTCATTAATAAAGATTCAAGTGTTAGATGATGAGAATGTCAGTGGTGAGAAAGACACTTGTACAATTATAGTTTTATCTATTACATATGAGAATATACATTTTGGAGTACTTATATCATATGTAAGTTAATTATTACCCTTTACAATCTGTTATGAGTACATTCAGTAGTAATTACTTTAATTCATATTTTATTTTATTATCGATTTCAAGTATTATCTAAATTCATTCTTTGTTTGGGGCACCAAAATTCTCATAGACGGCCCTCTAAGATACTATGGTTCATGGAGTATGCGCATAGCCGAATCCATGATTTGGAAGACGTTAGAAGTCATCATCATTTCAAATGATCCTATAGTAATTCCACGGCATAAGCTACATCTTTGAGCTATAGTGAATACAAAATGGTCTTAATACTTCTCTTTCTGGGCCTTTTAACACACAATTATGGTCTAAAGTGAAAAAATGTTCATTTGTTTTCTTCTTTGAATAAGATTTAGAAAGAATTTAATGGCATAAGGCAGACAGAAATTACAATTGGTTCCTATTTCTTTGTTCTCCTTTGGCTATAATATTTAAAAAAGAATAAACTTTGATGAGTTCATTTGTTTTCTTCTTTGACTAGGACTTTGGTAAGAAAATAATAATAAATGAATTTCTTTTCTTATTGTGCTATGTTGTTGAACAACAATCATGGCCAAAGAGAATTTTTCTCTCTACTCTTTTTTCTCTTCATAGGCTAAAACTTTTTTAGCCTATGACAACAAGAAGAGAAAAACTGCATTTATTGTTCATTTATTTTCAACTCCTACTAAGATTGGCTTTGAACCTAAAAATGGTAAGAAAAATTGATAACACTTGCTTTTCTTCTCTTCTTGGCCTACAACCTATATATAAACATTGTGATGGTTGAGAAAAAATCAACTTATTTTGAACACCGTAAGAGTAAGTAAATTAGGTGGCATCTTTTTCTTTGCAGTAATTTTTTTTTTTGTTCTATTGGTCTAAAATTTCAAAATGCGATTATAGTTCTTCCCAATTAAGAGGTTTGAATAACATGGACTTATTGGGAACTTGAGAATATGGTTCGATGAAGATTTGTCTTTTGATTTTTCTCATCTTAAAAGTTCTTTACTAAAACCTTACCTGGGACGTTAAATACTGCCTTAAAATGGGGGTTCCCACAGTGTGAGTGCTATGTAACATGCTCAACAAAACACACTAATTAATTATTATTGTGTTTTGTAAGCATACATTAATTATTCTTAGAAAAGTGAACCACAAACACCAGAATAACAATGACAATAAACGTCACTTTTCTTCTTTTCTCATTAGTTCTTTTGTTGTCTTAATGGGAATATGTGAAAAAATGCAGATAATTTGAAAATTTAATTCTGACGCTCATGAGTTTAGACAAAGCCAAATACTGATCTCAAATTCTTGAGTAATATACAAGTGTAATTGGAATTTAGGTATTTTGAAAATTTAATCTAGATGCTCATGAGTGTAGACTTCAAATTGAAGATGTAAAAGATAGCATCTTACAAATGAAGTTTTCATGAAATAGCTTTGATGTTGGTTCTCAATTAAAATCTTGGATTCCAATAAAGCGGCTGAAAAGTGTTTTTTCAGGGAGATTGTTTTCCCAATAAGTAAACATCCAATTGTAAGTTATGTGCCATGTATCATTAAATACAGCAAAGGAATGGAATAATGCATTAAATTATCAGTAATAAATTTGTACATCAATAGTTTTGAATAAAGTATGTTTATCAGATTTGATGTATGCTTGGATGTATGTAATAGAATAATTTGTATATGAAAAATACTATTCCTTCACACAATTACATACACACATGGTATACATTTAGAAAGAAACCCAATTATCTTGTGTTAGTAAATGGATTATTTATTTGGTTTTTTCTAAACAGTGCATAATATCCTCAAAGTTGTGGCATGTTTGATTTTGCAATGATTAACACATGCGCGTTCTATAAAATGTGCTATTTTTCTGCTATTAGATTTATATTACTTGATTTCTTTGGAACAATTTCCAATCATGGAAGGTCGATTGTAATTTATGTGGAGTTCGCCAGAATCCCTACTCTTTAAGAGTTTTACGACATTCACATGCTCTACTTTCACTACATTTTACGATATTATTTTATGAAATTATTTAAAAAAAAATATTATTCAATTCATCTTATTACAAATTTTCAAAATTTGATTTTTAATTTTTTACTAATAGAGATTAAGATATAATTACGATCAAAGACGTGTGTTGACAAATGTGAAATGTTGACCATTGGAACTAAAAAAGAACAAAGGAAGTATAATTGTATACTATTATAAGTTCTTTTTTACCAAACGTATGTATATGAGTTAAATATACATATGGTTACATATAAGGGCCGATATAGCTCTAGGCCAGGTAGGGCCAGGCGCAACCTAAAAAAAATTACTAGCATATACAAGTATATGTATTATACTATATGTAGTGTTGTTAAATAATGGTATAATTACAAATGAAGTCAATTTGGGTATAAATTCCGTGTTAGCAAGATGGAAGTGTTATTGGAAATACTGCATGCAAAGGAATAATAAATAAATAATTAAGGGAAAACGTAAGATTACTTGTAACCGAGCCCAATGTAAACGTTGTTTCCTTAAGACGTTTTTGCCCGACACACGTAGCAAGCTTCTCCTAGGATAGAACGGTTCTTCGCTCCCAAAGGGATTCTGGCGAACTCAAAGATACATGGAAGATGAGAGAATATGGAGGATTGAGTGTTGATTTTCGGATATCCCAAAATTGAAGACAAGGCGGGTATTTATAGAACTCTGGCCAGGAGTCTCTAACCCAAAAGACACCTATTAAAAGAAAGTTCATGACCTTTCTTTTAAAACGAATAGTTGTGTCTTCTATTTGGTTTTATTCGAAAAGGAATAAAAACGTAGCAAAATAATCTCCAGTCTTTAGCCATACGAAGATGTCCGGTGAGACTCGAACCCGACCCGAGCCAGCCGACTTACGGCGCCGGTGTGAGCGGGTTAAATATAATTCCACGCTTATCTTTCGGGGAACAATTTCTCATTCATTTCAGAATGGTTTTTCCAAATAATATTAATGACCATAATATTAATTTGTAAAACCATTTTTCCAACAACCCCCCCACATGAATGGGAAATTGGCTTAAAGACAGGAAACAGATTGGAATTTGACATGGGAAGATGGGAACTCTGCATAGGGTTAGGTAGTCGTGAAACTTTGAACCTACCTTAGTGTATATCCATCGGATTTACAGGCCAATCAGTGACCATTTCTGCCTTGAACTGTCTGCCTTAGCGTAAACCTATACAATGAATAACACACAGAGCCCCGAGTGCATCTTTGGTTCTCACGTTTGTGTTCGTTTCGGCCTTGAACACCTCCTGGTTCAGCTAGTGTTTTCAAGAGTATATCGTGCACCGGAGAATTTATCTCGTGCCATAGACTCTCATAGAAGCGGCTTTCTTCCACCAGCATAGGTGATCTCTATGGAAGGTATCATGTCATACACTCATACCTTACTTGAACTTATCAAGATATAGAGATCATTAAAAGCGTAACTTACCCTAAGTGCTCATGACATGAGTGTACTATATCTTGGCTAGTACCGCCCGAGCCAGTCCACGGTTGTGTTTTCCCTTTGAACCTAATTATGAGGCACTCTCAATAATAGGTAGGGTTTCCCCATGGACTTTTTATTGGATCATTGGCCGTAGGCCCATTGCTCCTTGACGTTTCGACCAACTCTCTCGGTAGAGGTTTGGTTAGCGGATCCGCAATATTTTCTTTCGACTTAACATAGTCAAGAGAGATTATCCCATTTTAATTAGTTTTCTAATGGTATTATGTCTACGACGGATGTGTCTAGAGTTACCATTATAAACTGCATTCCTTGCCCTTCCAATTGCAGCTTGACTATCACAATGAATGGATATTGGATGGACAGGCTTTTCCCAACAAGGAAGATCTTCCAAAAACTCTCTCAACCATTCAGCTTCTTCTCCAGCCTTATCTAAGGCAATGAATTCAGCTTCCATGGTAGATCTGGCAATACATGTTTGTTTGGAAGATTTCCATGACACGGCACCACGACACATATCCACTTGTTGATTATGTATCCTTGGAATCGGATATTCAATTTGCATCAGTATATCCCTCTAGCACGACTGGATATTTTTGAAAATGTAAACCATAGTCTTTGGTGTACATCAAATACCCAAGCAGCCTTATAAGCACTTTCCAGTGTTCTTGAGCTATATCGGGTCGTGTTCCATTCATGACATATGTCAAACATCCTATGACCCGAGGATAGTCATCTTGTGATACACTTTCTCCTCTATTTTTACTGAGGTGAACACTGGAATCAAAAGGAGTTCTCATGGGTTTGATATCATACTTCTTGAATCTCTCAAGCATTTTCTCAATGTAGTGTGATTGAGATAATATCAACCCTTCAGGTGTTCTGATGATTTTAATTCCTAGAATGACATCAGCAACACCGAGATCCTTCATTTCAAATTTCCTGGCCAACATACTTTTGGTAGCCTTTATCAAATTACTATTACTACAAAAAATGAGCATATCATCTACGTATAGACAGACTATGACGTAGTCAATTTGATTGCCTTTCACGTACACGCACTTGTCAGCCTCATTGATCTTAAATCCATTTGACAGCATTACACTGTCAAATTTATCATGCCATTGTTTGGGGGCTTGCTTTAACCCATAAAGAGATTTTACTAAGCGACAAACCTTTCTTTCTTTTCCGGGGACAATAAAACCTTCAGGTTGTTGCATGTAAATCTCTTCTTCTAAGTCACCGTTCAAGAATGCAGTTTTTACATCCATTTGATGGATTTCCAAACCCTTCAATGCAGCTATTGCCAATAACATTCTAATTGAAGTTATTCTTGTAACTGGTGAATAAACATCAAAGTAATCAAACTCCCCTTTTTGGTTGTATCCTTTGACAACCAATCGAGCTTTGTATTTCTCAATTGTTCCATCAGTTCTTCTTTTCTTTTTGAAGATCCATTTACATCCTAGAGGTTTAGATCCAGGAGGCAAATCTACCACTTTCCAAACGTGGTTAGACATGATGGAATCAATTTCACTTTTGATAGTCTCTTGCCATTGTGCAGCGTCTGGTGAAGACATGGCTTCCTTATAAGTTTGAGGCTCATTATCTAATAGGTACACAACAAAATCGGGTCCAAAATTCTTAGATTTTCTAGCCCTTTTGCTGCGTCCCATTTCACATTCTTCCGCCACTTCATTATTATCATTTATAGAATAAAAAAATCTCTTATGTGAATTGGTTTCTTCAACATGGGTTGGAATGAAAACATCCATGTCGGAGGAGACAACTTCACAATCTCATTATATGATTTGTGGACAAGGAAACGATATGCACTACTATTTTGTGCATATCCAACAAAGACACAATCAATGGTCTTTGGTCCAAGTTTAGTTCTTTTAGGTTTAGGAATAGCTACTTTCGCTAGACATCCCACCACCCTCAAGTAATTGAAACTTGTTTTTTCCCCTTTCCATAACTCATATGGAATCTTGTGTGTTTTCTTGTGGGACATTCTATTTAGAATGTAGTTGGCGGCTAAGACAGCATCCCCCCACAAGTTGTTTGGAGCACGAGAGCTAACTAACATGGCATTAACCATGCCCTTTAACGTTCTATTTTTCCTCTCGGCGATTCCATTAGATTGAGGTGTATAAGGAGTAGTAGTTTGATGAATTATTCCATTATAATTCAACCGATGTATTGTCAACCATTTTAAAGTCTAAGAAATGCCTGACAATAAACTTCTTTTTGCCGGCATCCTCAGTCTTGTATTTTTTCTCAAGTGATTCCCACAATTCTTTTGCCGTTTTTATATCGGCATACACAGAGTATAAAGAGTCATCAAGTCCGTTTAGGATATAATTTCTACACAAGAAATCCGAATATTTCCACGCATCCACCGCGGCTACTTTTTCCTTATCAGTCTCGCCTTCCTCTAAAATAGGTTGGCTTTCGGAGAGACACTTTGCCAAATTCAACGTTGTTAAATAAAATAGCATTTTCTAATGCTTCAGTACATGTACATGAGGTTTAGTGCACAGAAGCAGGGGTATTTTGCAGGTCTTAGACCCTTAATTGGGTTAGATGGCTGCCATTTGAAAACACCTATGGGAGGGCAACTACTATGTGCTGTAGCTAGGGATGGAAATGAAAACATGTTTCCTCTTGCTATAGCATATGTGGATAGTGAAGATAAAGCTTCATGGACTTGGTTCTTGCAAGTATTGTTTCAAGACTTTGGCAGGCCAGAGGAAACTAACTGGGTTTTCATGTCTGACAAACAAAAGGTAATAAAAAAGTACTTATTTCTTGTTTAAAATATGTGAACAACTTCTTTCTATATATTGTGTTTAATTGCTACCTTCTTTCAGGGTTTAGTTGAGGCATTTAAGGCTGTGTCACTTGCTAATGAACACAGATACTGTGTGAAGCACATGTATGAGAACTACAAGAAAATCTTTAGAGGGGCTGAGTACAAAAAGAAGCTCTGGTTTGCAGCTAGCACTGGAAGTCTGAGGTCATGGGAGAGGCAAATGGAAGGAATAAAGAAGTTTGATGAGGCTGCTTACAACTGGATTATGCAGTATGACCCAAGTACTTGGAGCAGATCTCATTTTTCAATTCAAGCACAGTCTGATGCTTTGCAGAATAACATATGTGAGTCATTCAATGCATACATACTTAGAGCTAGAGATATGCCTATTTTGAGCATGTTTGAGTGGATTAGAAGAAGGTTGATGGCTAGGTTTCATGTTAAGTACACTGCCATGAGTAAGTATAAGGGTAATATATGTCCTAATAAGCAGGATCTACTAGAAAAATTCAAATTTGAAAGTAGGAATTGCTTTTCTACTCCTGTTGGGGATAACTTGTTTGAGGTTGATTTCTATGACACTAGCCATGTGGTTAATCTTAGAGACAAGACTTGTACATGTCGAAGGTGGGATTTGAATGGGATCCCTTGTAAGCATGGAGTGTCTGCGATATATGCCAATAGAGAGAAACTTGAAGACTATGTGAGTGTTTTTATGCTAAATCCACCTATTTGGCAGTGTATAAACACATAATCCATCCTCTACCAAGTAAAGATGAGTGGGAGAGAACAGATACTCCAGATATTGAGCCCCCAATTCCTAAAAAACCTGCAGGAAGACCCAAGAAAAAAAGGATTAAACAACCTGATGAAACAAGGAATCCCTATAAGGTGTCTAGGGCAGGTAAGCAGGTCATATGTGGCAATTGCAAGCAAGTGGGTCACAATGTTAGAGGGTGTAAGACTTTCATAACTGGGGAAACACCATGGCAAAGGAGAAAGAGGTTAGGAAAACAAAAATCTGCCAAAACAACCCTAGGTGGTGATGATGACACAGCTGACCCAACCTCTCATGACCTAGAGCAGACTGAGAATAATGAAACTTTTTATATGTCAACTCCCATTGCCCATGATCCAGTTTCCCAAAGGGATGAAGGAAGAACAAAGAAGAAAAGAAGAATAAGCAGTTCACAACCACCTCAACCATCAGCCAGAAGAATGACTAGGTCCTCAAGTTCACAACCCTCAATGGTAGTATTTTGTTTTTCATTTTTACTGTAACCTAATATTTAGTGTGTTTTCTTTACACTTATTGTGATCTTATTGCTTCTTTCAGGATCCAGAGCACTAAGGATGGAGTGAGGGGAAAGAAGTAATCATGCAGTTGTAGTGTAGGGAGATGAAGATTGGTACTTTAGAAGATGTGTTATGTTTACAGTTCACTTTTATGTACTCGTCAATCATGCTTTTTATGAGCATGTGTTTTGTAATGAAACTTATGTAACAAACATCTTTGGCATGTGTTTTGTTATGAAGTTGTTGTATGACATTGGCAGCTAAGTTCTTTTGGGTCCAATGTTACTTGTTATGAAGTTCTTAAACCACTGGCATGTAATTTGTGTTGGGTGAAATCTATCTTTATTTTGTCCATTTCTCTCTCTTTTGGATAAGTAAACAAATTGGATCACTTTGTCCATTTTATTTTAACTTTGTAAGTATTTTGGTTCATTTGGGTATACATATGGTGCTATGGTGCAAGCTATCATTCTGGTTTTGGGTTTTAGGTGTATACATATCGATTGTGTGATACTTATTGTTATGGTTTTGGGTATATAAATGTTGTTAATGGATGCTGTCAAACCAAATGTTAGGTAATTGTTCAAACCTTTATATATATAGGTATATATATGCTCTAAATGGATGGATGTTATCAAACGAAGTGTTCTGTTTTACAGGTCTCTTTTGTAAAACCAAATGGGCTGTATTTGTGAATGAATCCTTGTGAAACCAAATGCTTTAGGCATGTTGTATTATGCTCTGTTTTTCAGTATATGTGGACAAGAGACTTCATACTTCATACATTAAAGAACTTCAAACAAAGTTCATATATCAAGCATCAAGCATTGTTACATTTCATTACACATTACACAAAGGAAACACACTACAAGTGAAAGTGAACACAATGACATCTAGTTCAGCCATTTCATCAAACACATTGACAACAACTTACACCTAAACCCTTCTAATTACAAAGAAAATAAAAAATAACAGGGCCACACAAAGAAGCTTCCACTTAAAAGTCAGATTATCATTGTTAGCCATCTTCAATTGCAGTTCCATGTTCTGCACCTTCAGAATACCAATTCCACGAACGCAGGTCTTCATTTCACCCTCTAGCTCCATCACTTTCACCCGGACATGTTCTTCGAGTCTTCCAACTTTCTGAAGAACCAAATCTAAGTTCTCCTGACAAGTACGACATGTGTCCTCCTCAACCCACTCAAAATATTTGCATTGTTGACCACCGCCACTTGAATAACGCCCACAACCATGAAATCTTTTCCCTCTATTCTTCTCTGTTGTTGCCGTCCAAATCGGTGCTTGGACTCCACAATCACACCTCTTCACTTGTTGTCTTCCATCCATGGCAGATGAGCTTGAATTTGAAGAACTCATCTTTCTTCTTCATCACACCCTAAGCGCCTGTGGGAGGAGAGATGTATTCAGAGTGTTGTCGTAGGGTTTCAGATTGGGATTGGCATTACTTAATAATAGGAATAATGACATGGTGCTTCAAGATTGGGATTGCAAGCCACGTAAGCAGATTTGTGGCAAATTATGTTCCACTTCAGCATTAAATAAACGGAGTCAAGACGGGGACCCCGCGGGTGGTAACGGTATCAAAACACGAAGGTGTGTTTGTTACAAAGTTTATCACAGACCCCTAATTGAAAACGCCCACAACCACAGGTATCTAATCCGTACTTTTCCCTAAATTTTATCCAATACTTATGGGTGAGAAAATTCTTCTACTCAATTGTTATGCGGTTTATCTTATATCTAAGGACATTACATATGAGAGAAAATTCTTTCGCTCAATTTTTAGTCGGCTTATCTTATACTTAAAAAAACTACATATGAGAGAGATAGTTTTCCTGTTCAATTGTTAACAAACTTATCTTCTAATCTCCTAATAATACCTAAAAGACTACATATGAGAGACAAAATTTCTCTGGTCAATTGTTAGCCTGCTTTTTCTTAAACATAAAAGCATACGTATGAGAAAGATAATTCTACCGCTTAATTGTTAGCCGGTTTACCTTTTTCTTTATACACCAGGGGGCGTCGGGGTAGGGCGTTTGGGGTAAACTGAGATCAATCTCACTGCTTCCTCAAGCCGGTTTGTCTTATACTTAAAAGAACTACATATATGAGATCCCGCTCAATTGTTAGCAAGTTAATCTTCTAACACCTAAAAGAACCACATATGATAGAGAAAATTATCTTATACCTAAAAGTACTACATATGAGAGAGAAAATTATCTCGCTTAATAATTTCGAACACAATTTACATTTTTTTGTTTAAATAGTTATTCATGTTTACGTGTGTGTCTCATATGCGAATGTGAATTTTTAATTGTCTCATATGAATATGCAATTTTACGAATGTGAATTTTTAATATGAGAGAAAATTGTCTCGCTTAATTTTTAGCAAGTTTATATTTCTTATGACACAATTAAAAATTCACATTCATATGAGAGACACACATAAATTTGAATAACTATTTAAACAAAAAATGTAATTTGTGTTCGAATTTGAACGTCGCTAAACTTGGATCGTTAAATTGGATTCAAAATCAAGCTCGAACTCGGGTAGTTCAAAAAAAGTTATGTTCCGTAACAACCGTACTATAAGCTAAATCTTGTGTGTGCAGCAATATATTCTTTTGTCTGCTTAGCTCACTCTACATTTCATTCATGGATTTGCCTCTGCTTACACTTATAAGGAAATTAGTTTTACATAGGGATATATCTATTAAAACGTGACATTTTTCTGAGATTCTCATTCTTAATCCACCATAAGAAAGTACATTTACATTTTTGAGTAATTTTCATTTATATAAAGAGACTATTCAAATATGTTATTTTTTTTAATAAAATATGATAGATTTAACATTATGACATTTTTAACATTGACATTCATATTTTATATTTTCCATTTTACCAATGATATATTTTTTGCCGCTTTACATTGTTTTTTAATAAACCTTCAAATATTTTTTAAATTTTATATATGCAATATTAGTGTCACATGAAAGATCGTAAAAAATTGTAATTTTTGATATATATTTTTAAAAATTAGAGTAAAAATGAAAAAGTTGTAACATTTTGAAGAAAGTAGTAATAATTTTAAAACAATGGACCCCATTAATATTGATGCCACGTTTTATAATGGAGTGGAGTGATACAAATGGTTATTATCTTCATAGAGTTGGTTCCTTATTATTAGGGAGCATTATTATTAATTAGTCCTTAAATTTGCCACTTGGCATTTGTATCATTAAAGGAGTGAAATATGGAGAGGACACATAGGATTCATTAAGGGTATAATAATTGTCTTTTAATGAGCTATTTCTTTTCTTATATATATAAATAGAATAGATAGATAAAAGCTAGTAGAGATGGCAATTGTGACCGATCCGATGGATACCCGCACCAAACCGCCCCGGTCAAAACGGGGAAAACCGCTTTGACCGGGTAACGGGTACGGGGCGGGGAATGCCCGTTTTGTTTTTACGGGTGATGGGGCGGTTACGGTTTTATACATGCCCGCCCCATTACCTGCCCCGTACCCGCCCCGTTTATTTTTTAGTTATATTTTACTACATTCTTATTTATTATTTGTCCCACAACTAATAAAAGGTGATATTTTTCAATTTTCATTGGTATATATGGATAACAGATGTACTAACTATATAGTGTATGAATTTTGTTCATAATAGATTTTAATAGTTTTTTTTTATTATAATCAGATTTTTTCCGTGATTAATTATTTTTCAGATCAAGTCTTTTTATGTTTAAATTAATTTAGGTTGTTTTGTTTCTCGTTTTGTAGATATACGAAACTTTAAAATGACGTCTGAGTCTAAAGTCGTCTAGGTGATGCCATTTTTCACCTCTTAAAATATTATTTTTATATTAAAATATCAATGACCCATTTAATAAAGCGATTACGCGCGGTTACCCGCAGTTATACCCGTTACCCGTTGGGGCGGTTATGATTTGGATAAAAAATACCCGTTGGGTAATGGGGCGGTTATGAGGCGGAGGAATTATCAAACGGGGCGGGTACGGTTATATGTAAAACCTTCCCCTATCCGCCCCTTTGCCATCCCTAAAAGCTAGCCCCTGCAATTTTCGTGGTTCTCTACTTGGAAAGGAAGAAAACGAAACCGTAGCACCGAGTAAAAACCAGGCCTCACCCTTCTTCTAGCCTCCAATTTCAGAAAACGAAGCAAGCCAGACAAATCACCAATCGAAGCAAAAAACCATTCACACCGATCTAAGCCAGGTAATTCACCGATCGAATAAAAACGATTCACACCGAGGCAGGTAAACTCCGGACAGGACAGCCGCACCGCCGCCGCCGATAGAAACTAACTAGGTATAAAACCTAGAGACGTCCGCTTTTTCCCTTTCTCTCTGTATTTTTTGTCACATTTTTGTTAATAATGGTTATTCTAGCTATAAATATATACTACGTAGTTTTTTTAATAAAAAATGTGAATGTGATAAAAATAATTAATTTTTTTTCTTGGTCAATTTATTTTTTGTTTATAGAATGAATGTGGTGCTCTAAGCAAACTGCCGAACAGATTGCAGAGGATCGATTCACTTATCCACGCACGCCAACGGCCAACTCGCAAGCCGCCTACACAGCTACGCTTAGCCGCCTGCCACCTGCCGCCTGCCGCCTGCCCCTTCTCAGTGCTGTCCGCTGCACGGCTGTACCGGCTGCCCTGCAGCACCGCGTGCACTTCTGTGTACCTTCAACTTCGAGGCTGCGATTCCTGATTCTGCCCAGTGCCCAGTGCCCAGTGCCCAGCTCCTTCGTCCCTTCTCACCTCCTTCCCTTCTGGTACGCTTTTTTAACTCCATTTTGATTGGTATAATAATTCATAGTTATTGATAAATGAGTAGTTGATTAATTTTCCGTTAATTAGTTCAATTTCATAAATGTTGATTGTTGAGTGTTATTTTGTTCTGACCTTGTTGATGTTGTCATCTGTTGATTAGTTCATAATTTTTTACAATGTCCTTAGTCGATTAGTTCATTTTTTAAAGCTATGAGTTAATAGTTGTTGCCTTTTTGAATTTTGAGGGATTAGTAATATTTCTGTAATGTAATGAAATTTGTATTTTGTCGCGGTGTTATAATTTGTTGGGTAATTTTTTTGAACTATAATTAAATTTACGAATTTAATTAATTTCAAGGCGTAATAAAAATGGTTAAATCTTGATGGGAGAAATAAAAAAAGAGGAGAAGATTGGAGAAAGCAGCCCTGAGTCAAAATGCTTCAATGGAAAAAATTTGTTTGTGTGAAGAAG